CCTGGTCTCTAAAAAAAAAAAAAAAGAACAAATGTTTATGTGTCACAGTTTCTGTGGGTCAGGAACCAGGAGCGCAGGCACTATTTCACTGGGTGCCGCTGGATGGGAGTCTCTCCCGAGGCTGCATCAGGGGGTCGGCTGGGGCTGCAGTCTTCCCGACTGGCACAGTCCACTCACAAGGTTGTGGTCAGGCCTCAGGTCGTTCTTGGCTGCTGGCTGGAGACATCAGCTCCCTGCCACATAGGTCTCTCCCATGTCACCCCATGGCAGCTGGCTTCCCTCAGGTTGAGCCGGCAGGGGAGTGAGAGAGGATACCTGCAGTGATAGCCGCAATCTTTTAGTCACCTGCTCCTGGAAGTGAGATTCCATTACTTTGGCCGCATTCCTCTCATCAGAATTGAGCCAGGAGGTCCAGCCCACACTCAAGGGGAGCTCAAGGGTGTTAATACCAGGAAGCAGAGATCACGGGGGCAACCTTAGAGGTCGTCCACCACAGGAAGCCACTGGAGAGTTCTGAGCAAGAAGAGATAGCCAGGTTCAGGTTGATTGTTTTAAAACTAGGCAATCCAGTCACATGATACAAGACTAAAGGTTCAAAAGGATATAGGATGGAAAACCTCTCTCCCACCCCTGTCCCCAGCCACTTAATTCCCTCTTGCCAGAGAGCCAAGCAGCCTTTCTGGTGCCTCACATGGCCTTCCAGAGGCAGTCTGTGCATAGATGAGCAAATGTGTCTGTGGCAGTTGTCCGTGTTGTTCACCAAATAGTTCCAATTCTATTCTCCTTCCAGGCCCGCAGTAGCTATTCCAGGTATCTATTCTACACAACAAACCTGCCACATTCAGTGGCGTAAAACACCTAGTTTATTGTGCTCACAGATTCTGCAGGTTGGGAACTCAGGTAGGACTCAACAGGGAGGGCCGGTCTCTGCTCCCCAATGCCAGGGGCCTCAGCTGGAGACACCTGCATGGCCAGGGGCTGGAATTATCTGCAGGTGTCTTCACTCATATGTCTGGAGCTCGGGGACTGGAAGGCTGTGCTCAGCTGGGATTGTCAACCACAGTCCACTGTGGCCTCTCCCATGCGTGGCCTCTCCGTGCGGCTTGGGGTTCTCGCAGCAGCAGCTGACCATGAGGGAACAGCGCAAGAGAAAGCTTCCGGAGACCAAGCATTTCGAGAGGACCTTTTCCGACCTAGCCTCGGACCTCACTCTGCACCGTTTCTACCACATTCTACCGGTGACAGGAGAGTCTCTAAGGTCAGACCAAAGTCAAGGGGAGGAAATTAAACTCTCCCTTGATGTGGGGGTAGTAAGGTCACATTGCGGAAGTGCCCGTGGGACGGAAGCGCACGCTACACTCGTCTTTGGAAAATGCTATCTGCCGTGGTAGCGCTGGGCCGCCCCGGCCCTTTAAAGTCGGTTGTGGCCATGTGCTGCGCTTTGACCAATGAACTATGAGCAGAAGTGACTTGTGTCACTTTTGACTGCAAGCTTTAAGGGCGATTGTATGAGTTACCACATTTCCCATTTCCTTCTTTTTTTAAGGCAAGCACGAACATGAGGTTTATTGAGGAGAGAAAGATAAGATTATAGAGCAAGAGAAAGATATAGGTTTACAGAGTGTGAGACATGTGCCACAGGTGACGACTGGACCCACTGTTGCAGCAAAGCAGCTAAAGGAAGGGAGAAGAGCCCCATTTCCTTTTACTGTCTGCCACTGTAGAAGCTCAAAGTGCGATGATGCCACTATTGTCCTAGGGCCGAGTGACTACTGTGTCTATTTAGAGCCACCCACCCCCCAACAACCTGCGTTGGACATGTGGTGTACGTGAGAAATAAACTTTTGTTTTAAGTCACTGAAATCTGGAGATTGTTTGTTACTGCAGCATAACCTAGCCTATCCAGACCCTTCTTACACAAATGGTAGCAAATCTTACACACTGTTTGCACCTTGATTTTTTTCATTTAACACTCTCTTCAAGATTGTTTATATCAGTAAATGAATACCCCCACACTTTTTTTAATAGCTACATAGTATTCCTGTGTATGAAAGGACCACATGTTACTTAACTGGTCTATATTAAGGGCAATTAGTGCAATCCATCTTTTCAAACAGTACTGCAATTAATCAACCTGAGCATTATCTTATTTTGTTTGAATGCAATGATTTGTAGAATAAAGTCCTAGAAGTGTATATCTCAGATGGTTGGTGGCAGATTTCCCGTTTAAAAGAGACCACTTTGGAAGCCAAGCACGGTACATACAGTTGTAGTCCCAGCTACTCAGGAGGCTGAGGCAGCAGGATTGCTTGAGCTCAGGAGGTCGAGGCCAGCCTGGGCAACATAGCAAGACACCATCTCTTAAAAGAAAAAGAAATCACTTTGGCGGTAGGTGGAGAATGGCTTGAAGAAGCAAAACCTGAGAGTCATGAGTACCGCCTTCCTCGCTTCACCCCTTGTCAAGTGCCAAATCCTATTCATTCCAGTTCCATAGGGCACCGTCATTCCTCTCTCTAATGGTTCCTCCTAAAAGGTCTCCCACCTGTCTTAAGATACTTGGCTGCAAACAGTGAAGCCAATTCTGGGTAACTACATAGACAAGGAACTGATTGGACAGTTTCTGGGGTGCTTGCTGAATTCCCCTCCCCAAGAAGGGCTGGTTTCAACCGCCTCCCCTCCCCTACCCCCGCATGAATTCTAAATGATCCCCCAGTGTCTAGTGTTGATCACTTGCTCCAGATTCAAAGACCTGGCTGGAAACACTGGAATCATGCTCCAGCTACCAGACACCCAGGAGAGGAAATTCTGCCTGCCCTTTTTGATTTCCTTAGTGGAAGGCAGAGTCTGCTTCTGTATCTCATAGGATGCTTTCCAAAGGGGAAGGTATTCAGATTCTGGGCACTAAAACAAGTCTGCCCCCCAAGCCCTGACCCATAGCTTATCTTCCACAGTGCAGCCCAGAGCTCTCTGTGAAAGCAAATCAGATCACTCTACTCCTCAGCTTAAAACCTCCTTGACAGCTCCCCACTAACCTCAAAAGGAAGTCAAAACTCTTTACTTGACTTTCAAGGACTTCCCTGATCCAGGCCCCTCCTAAGGCCTCAGCCTCACGTCTTGCCCCTCATGCCCACCACTCTGTGCATCTTTAAACTCTCCCAATGCTCTGCTCTCAGGTGCTGAATGCATGAGCCCTTCCTGCCTTCCTCTACAGATCTTTGAACATGTAATAGACCTCTGTCCAGAAGGTTCTTTCTCTCCCCACTCTGTGACCTCGAAACCTGCATATTCCCACTTAACCCTCAGATTTCACTTGGACACAACAGCCTTCACTAAGTGAGGTACCTGCCCTATATCCCACTGGCCACTGGGTTTACCTTTTTCAAGGAACTTATCCTAACTCTCAAATGTATCCTAGATCCATCCACTTTTCTCCATCTCCATGGCCACCCTGTTAGTCCAAGCTACCATTGTCTCTCTCCTGGAACTCTATAGCCTCCTGACTGCTCTCTCTCAGCTTCCACTCTTGGCCCCCCAAGAGTCCACCAGTCAGGATGATCTTTTTAAAGTGTAAGTCATCCTTTCAAAGTTTTCCCATTTCGCTTAGAAAAAAACCCTCAAACTCCTGGACATGGTCTACAGAGCTCTCCATGATCTAGCTAGCATCCTTTCTCCTTCTGTCTCATTTCAGACCACTTGGGCCCTGGTGCTGCGTACGTCATCTTGAACACACCAAGCTCATTCTGCGCTCAGAACCTTTGCACTTGCTGCTGTTTCTGCTGGGTCTGCTCAAATGCCACACCCTAAGACCATTCCCTCGCCTCTCTTTATTTTGTCTTAATGTCCTAATAGCACTTATCACTCCCTGAAGCCGTCTATTTATTTCTTTATTTACAAGATCATTACCTTTATCTTCCCCACTTCTAGCATGTAAGCAGGGAGCTTGGCTATCTTGCTGCCACCACAGTATTCCCAGAACCTGGCTCAATGCCTGGCACAAAGCCTGTGCTTTGTAAGTATTTTGGGGGGAATGAATGAATGCACAAGGATCACAAAAGGCTAGCTGAATCAGGTTCTGCCTTACTCCCTGAGTCTGGGCAAGCCTCTGTTTCCTTCAGTGTGAAGAAGGGGTGGAGGAAGTGGAGTGTTGAGCTAGAAGGTGTTGATTAGCTGTAAAATTTCGGCCTTGTATTTCCCCTAGTCTTAGGCCTGGAGGCCTGGAGCTACTCGACGTCCGGCGCCTCGGCTCCCCACCTGTATAATGGGTGTGAGCTCATCCCAATGTCCACGGGTGGTAGCGCTGCCTTATAAGGCAGCAGAGGCCGAGGGAGGGTGAGGCCGTGTGGGTGGAGAGAAATCACAACATCCGGCTGCGGGGGCAGGGCGGGAGGTCGGGGAACCGCTTGGGGAGGTCGCCAGCCTCTTCTGGACCTCTCCCCGCTTCCGATGTCCACTCTCCAGGATGGACCGACCCGAGGGAATTCGGCTGGACAAATGGACTAAACAAGCTCGCGGCCCGCCCGCTGAAGCCCAATACCGAGCCCATCCTCAACAAAACCCTAGAAAAGTCATCAGCTAGCCTAAGGCATCGGACCACACCCCCAGCTGATGGCCCAATCAGGATGCATTGCTCGGAATAACCGACGTTCACTTCATCCAATCATAAATCCGGTTCCTTGGGCGTGACCCAGAGGATCCACCTCCGCCGTCTCAGCGGAGGGCTCGTCCCTAATTGGCAGTTGGGTATCCTACGAAAGCCTAGAAATTCGAACCTGGGGGCTGAACCCTGCTCGCAGACCAACCAGGAAGAGATGACGTAATTAGTCCCGCCCCCGTACTTCTTTGAGCGAATCCCTGGCTCAAGGGGCGGGGGATGATGAAAAGGCAGGCTAATGGGAAGACGGCGCGGGGAGAGTCCTCCTGGTTATTGGTCGAGTAAAGTAAACAGAAGGCGGGGCGGGGCCGGGCGCCCGGGTGGCCCCGGGAGGGGGCGGAGAGTGCGCGGCGGGCGGCGGCGGCCGGGGAGGCCCCGGAGGCCGCGGCGCGGTCACTGCCACCCGAGCCGAGCCGAGCCCCGCTGATCGCCATCCGGGCCCGGCTCTCGCGCTTGATCCCGGCCAGCGGCGCAGCCCAGCGGGCCAGGCGGCGCCGCTGCCCATGGAGCTCGAGAACATCGTAGCAAACACGGTGCTACTCAAGGCCCGAGAAGGTGAGGCGGCCGGGCGGGCGGTCGGGCCCGGGTGCGGGTAGCGCGGGCGCGCGGCCTCTTAGCTCGGCGGGGCGCCCCAGCTGCCTGATCCTCTCGCGCTGCGGGCTCCGCGACCCGCACCCAGTGCAGACACGCGCCCTTCCGGCCCGTAGTCTTCCTCCTCCGCACCTGCCCCCGGGATCCCGGGCCCAGGAGGGGCGGGGGTCAGGCAGCCGCCCTGGCGGCGGAGGAGGGGGGGTTGAAGGGATGAGGGAAGGAGAGAGGAAGGAAGAGGGTGGGACCTGAGCCGCGGGAGAGCCTCTCTGAGGCCTGTTTCAGGTGAGAGGTGAGAAGATGCCCCACGTGCCCTGGGCCCAGGCTCCGGCGCCGAGCCTGGACCGGCACAAAGTTGGTGTTAGGTAAAGGTTGGAGAATGAATGAACACAGCCTCTGCATAGCACAGCCTGCCTGACTTGGGGAAACTCCTGGTCACAAATGCTACCAGTACCACTGCCACTTGCTTGGTGCCTCAGGACACTGAGGACAGAGCTAAATGGGTCACAATTTTTGCCCTCAGAAAGCGCACGGTCTAGTGGGGCTAACAGGAACAGACATAATCGAGTGCCCAGCATGCGGGGCTGTGAGGACTGTAAGTGCAAAGGCCTGGCTGGGGGAGCCAGTCTGGTGAGCTGAGTGTGTGTGGAACTCCTCATGGCCCCCACCCCAGCTGTTGTCAGGCATCTGCTCTGTGAGGGTCCTGGGGACACCGAAGGTCCAGACCTGGTCCTCACTGCCCTGTGGTCAGTCTGCCCCTCACCTGCCACAGCCCATCTAAGTAACATGATCACTGGACACCCACTCTGTGCCCCACCATGTCCTGGTGCTAGGGAACCAGCAGCGAACAAGACTTTTCTTTTAGGAACTCTAAGGCAGGGAGATCAAGGCAGTTTTTCCACTCTTTGCTGGGCTTTCAGGCTGAAAGAGGCACCTGCTTCACCTTTCTGCCCATTTTACAGGTGGGAAACTGAGGCTTGGACCAGGGACTAGTGCCAGGTCACACAGCAAGATTGTAGTTGACCCAGGCCTAGGACATGGGATGCCTAGCCAGTCTGTAGGAAGCCCAGAGGAGCCCCAGCTGGCCACCACACCTGGTACCCCCTGCCCACCCTGGTCAGGTGCTGCCTGGAAATGGGCACAGCAGGCTGGGTGCTTAGTGACCAGGGAGCCTGTCCTATCTCCTGTCCCTTATCAAGTCCAGGGGCTAGGCCTTCCTCCCAGCCTCTGGGGGCATCTGCAGATACTGTTCTGCCTCGTCATCTAGCCAGCCAGGGAGGAGGGGTGGGGAGAGCCCAGCCAGGCCTCCCTCCCTAGAACTATAGCCAGTTCAGGCCTCAGGCCTGCTGGGGGCACTGCCTTGCCTGGCCAGAGAATGTGGGTGCCTTCAGACAAGGTTTGTCAGGCCATGGGCAAGGCACAGGGTGGTGTGGCCAGACTGGGGACTGGTGCCTCCACTAGAGAACCCTTACCCCAAACTGGCTTTGCCCTTCCCACCTGCATGACTGTAGTCAAGTCTCTTCTCTCTGATCTTTAGTATCCTTTTTTGTGGAATGGTTGGGATGGTACATGAAGACTAAAGAAAATCCCGATTGTCACTGAGTCCTGAACTAGGCCCATGGACTGGCTGCATCAGAATCATTTCATGAGCTGGCTAACAGCTTGGGGCCGGGGCGTTTGCCAGCTTCCTAAGTGATCAGAGGCCCTAAGTGGTTCAGGAACCCTTGGTATATGTATTCAGTTGGCACCTAATAGATGCCAGGCATGTTAGGGGTGGGAAAGGAGCTTGGGTTGTGGGGAGCTGTGTATGAATCCTGCCACTGTCACCCCCAGGCTCTCTGATCTTGGGCAAATTGATTCTTCATTTCAGGGCCTCAGTTTTCTCATGAAATTGGGCCTGATCTGGCAGAGTTGCTGTGAGGAAAGAAAGGGTCGACACTGGGGCTATGAGCCCTCGTTCAGTCCTCCTTCCTTCCCAGGCACCCAGAGGCACAGGGAGGGGGCCAGGGCAGAGTGGGGAGGAGCCCCACTGACTGCAGCCCAGGACAGGATATTTGAATGTGACTCTTCACTGACGCCTTGATGTGGCTTGGGAGGAGGGGGAGGAGGAAGTAACTGGTGGGGGGAGTTAGGCGGATGGAGGGTTGAGTGAGGGACCTGGGTGGGTGGCGGAGGAGTTCCCCTTCTGGGGAGGCCTTGCCCGGGGTTGGGGGTGGGGGTCTGTTGCTCACTCCCAGTGAGGCAATGACAGTGGGATATGCAGGGTGCAAGGCTGCAGGCTGCAGGAGGCCGCTAGCAGGTTTCTCAATGGGCCCCTGCAACACTTCCTCCTCCAGGCAGCTTAGGTCAGGGCCATCAAGGTACCCAGTCCTGCCCACTCCCTAGAGGGCAGCTCATCCCCCTGCACCACCTGCCTCCACCCAGGCAAGATGGAAACAGGGCTGGAAAATGGAGGGGAACTGAGGTCAGGCAAGGGAAAATGGGTGCCTGGGGTCACCACTGAGTTGATGGAGCTGGGCCCACCTCTTGCCACAACCCTACTGGGTGCTGGACACAGACTCTCCTGTTCACCCTCACAGCACCTCTGGAGGTAATGGAGACCTGGAGAAATGGAGGTTCACAAACAGCAAGCAATGGGCCTAAAGTGTGCATTGAAGACTCAAACCCAGATCTGTGGAACTCCAAGACTCAGGCCCCTTCCACCATTCTCAGCCTGGTGGCCACAGACCATATCTTGCTAGCTCTCTGACACATTTTATTTATTTGGCTATAGTGGGTTTTTTTTTTTTTTTTTTTTTTTTGAGACAGAGTCTCACTCTGTTGCCCGGGCTAGAGTGTCGTGGCATGATCCTAGCTCACAGCAACCTCAAACTCCTGGGCTCAAGCGATCCTCCTGCCTCAGCCTCCCGAGTAGCTGGGACTACAGGCATGCGCCACCATGCCTGGCTAATTTTTTCTATATATTTTTAGTTGTCCAGCCAATTTCTTTCTATTTTTAGTAGAGACGGGGTCTCGCTCTTGCTCAGGCTGGTCAAGAACTCCTGAGCTCAAACGATCCTCCCGCCTCGGCCTCCCAGAGTGCTAGGATTACAGGTGTGAGCCACCGCGCCCGGCCTACAGTGAGTTTTTTAATTTTTACTTTTAAAATTAAATAGGAACCAATATTTTATGTATCAGTCTGGATTTCCAGCTGCCATTGAAAAATCAGAAGAGCTGGCCACACTGAGCCCAAAGCCTACCTAGCAACAATCAGGCAATCACTGGAGGGGTGTTGCAGCTGCCCCTCCTACAGGGGCATTCACCAGTCCAGTTCACCACACTCCCCACCACTCCCTGTTGTCCCACATCTGGCCCACATTTACCATACCTGTTGGGCTCTGTAGGCATTTGGGCTGCTCCTGTGATCTCAGCAGCTACAGATGGGGGCTCAGCTAGTTAAAACCAGGCAGGCATCAGGGCCAGGGAAGCCCTTGTATGTAGGGCAAGGGGTCCCGAGTGCCAGCCCACCTGCCCCCACCTCACTTGAGCCTCTGATAGCTCTAATGTGGGGCCCTCTGATAGAGGCCTGGGAGCCTCCCCGGTGCCAGGCTGCCCTCTGCCTCAGTGTACCCCACATGTCCTAGAATCTCTCCCTCCCGGCCTTGACTTACACAGTTCCCACCACTGTGATACCCTTCTCTACTCTCTGCATCTGGGGAACCCCTACCTGGTGGGAAGCAGCTGAGGCTGGACCCCTTGCTGGAGCTATGTGGAACACCCTCCTCCCCTCAGTGGCCCCACTGGCCCTCCTGGCTCTCCCAGCCCAGGAGACCCTAGCAAGAAGGCCCAGGTGGACCATGTGTGCCCAGAACACAGCAAGGGCATGCCGGAGCGTGGAGAGGGAAGGCCCAAGGTGCCTCCTGGTATGGGCTATGCCTTGGCTGGGCTTTGAAGGCCTGTGGACCACACTGAGGGTCCAGGGGAGGCAGTGGGGCAGGACTTGAGACCCAGTGCCTGATTGCTCCCACAGGTGGTGGCGGGAATCGCAAAGGCAAAAGCAAGAAATGGCGGCAGATGTTACAGTTCCCCCACATCAGCCAGTGCGAAGAGCTGCGGCTCAGCCTCGGTGAGACCTGGGTGGAGACTAGGGGTGCTGGGGTGAGAGGCCCTGCTGGTGTTGGGGGAGCCTCCCCTGAGACCATGCCCTGGGGCAAAGGGGCAGGGTTGGGAGTGTCGGTGAGCAGAAAGATGGAGGCTGCACCACCCAGCACAGTTTCAGTTCCTGGGCTCAGAATGGGTGAAGGGCGAAGCGCACACAGGGACTGCGGGGGCGGCTGAGGTGGGTGTGGAGAGTAGGGCGGGGGCAAGTAGGGGTGGCCTGAGAGAAGCTGAGGAAGGAAGAGCCAGGCTGAGCAGGCCTACAGGACAGAGGATGCTGAGGGGCCACAGGTCGACTGCCTTGGGCACCCAGCTCTGGTGGTGCCAGCAGAGCCCTGACCGGAAGCCCCCAGCTTGGGCAGTGTGATGGGGTTGCTTCTGGGAGGGAACAGAAGGGCCCAGACTTATCTTAGCCAAGGCCCCAGATTTGAGCAGCACCCAAGGTGGCTCAGGCCCCTCCGATGGCACGTGGGCAAAGAATGTATCGTGGCTGCTTCCACCTCCTGGGGAGGAGGCCCTGCTCAGAGCACGCCGGAAGCCACAGCTTCCTCTCATACTTTCGCCAGGCAAGCAGCAGGTGTGGGCCTGGCCCCAGCCAGGCTGGGCCGGAACCTCACAGACCACACCCAGCTCCAGCACTGTGACATATGCAAGTCATGTGAACCGGGGGACAACGAAGAGGAGGGTATAGAGGCTTGGGCTCTGGAACCAGACTCCTGGCTGGATGACATTGAACTAGTCAGTTAACCTCTCTGGGCTTCATAGTCCTGAGCTATGCTGGGAATAACAGTAGGGCCCACCTCAGAGTTGTGGCAAGGGCTCATAAGGAGATAATGGCCGCAGCACTGCAGGGCTGGAAGCTGTTGCTGGGGCCCAGGGTCTGCTGGTGTGGCCAGGAGCACCCTGCCAGCGGGCTCCAGGGCTGTGAGCCCAGCAGCTCCATCTCTGCCCGCAGAGCGCGACTACCACAACCTGTGTGAGCGGCAGCCCATCGGGCGCCTGCTGTTCCGTGAGTTCTGTGCGACGAGGCCCGAGCTGACCCGCTGTGTTGCCTTCCTGGATGGGGTGGTGAGTGCAGCCCAGCCCAGCACCGAGGGTGGGCAGAGGTCCCAGGCTCTGTGTATCCCATCTCCCCACACCCATTGCTCAGCCCGACCCCAAGCCTCTGTGCCTCCCACCCTGCAGGCGGAGTATGAAGTGACCCCCGATGAGAAGCGGAAGGCGTGTGGGCGGCGGCTAATGCAGAATTTTCTGAGCCACACGGTGAGTGAGCTGTGATGGAGAGATGACAGCCAGGGGTGGAGCTCAGTGACAGGGAGAAGAGTGACCACAGCCTGGGCAGAGAATGCCCTGGAGCTGCTCCAGGCAGCATCACAGGCATGCAGCCCCAGGGCCCGGCCGGGCTTGGGGCGGGGCAGCCCGCCAGCAGCTCTGCTTCACCCTGCCTCAGAAAGGGAGTTCAGCAACCTGGCCAGCTGGCGCACCACTGGCCTCAGATATCTGACATCCAGCCATCCATGGGAGCCCCCTGCACTGACCTGTCTGTGGCCTGTCCCTAGGGTCCTGACCTCATCCCTGAGGTCCCTCGACAGCTGGTGACTAACTGCGCCCAGCAGCTGGAGCAGGGCCCCTGCAAAGACCTCTTCCAGGAGCTCACCCGGTAAGCCCCCCTGCCCACAGCCCTGGACTGTGCCCAGAGGAGCGGGCTCTTGTGGGTCAGAAAGACCGTGAACAATGGCTGGCGAGGGAGCTCAGCTTCCTGCGCTGCACTTGGCCCTGCTGTGTGACCTTGGCAGGTTGCTCCCATCTCAGTAGCATCCTCAGCTTCAGCAGGGATGTGTGTCTGCTTGGTAGGTTAGCGGGAGGCTTGCTCGAGGGTGCTGCCTTGTGGGCTGAGCACGCACACAATGGGAGACCCAGCGAGCCGAGAGCCTGGGGTGTCAGGGCTGACCAGCGAGCTGGGCCTTCCTTCCCTCAACAGGCTGACCCACGAGTACCTGAGCATGGCCCCTTTTGCTGACTACCTCGACAGCATCTACTTCAACCGTTTCCTGCAGTGGAAGTGGCTAGAAAGGTGAGCTCTTTAAAGGCTGGGCCAGGCCACGCCAGGCCAGGTTGCCAGGCCTCTTCGTGGGCCTTGGGCTTCTGCTCAGCTGGTGTTTGCTTCCCCACCCTGTGCCCATAGGCAGCCGGTGACCAAAAACACCTTCAGGCAGTACCGAGTCCTGGGCAAAGGCGGCTTTGGGGAGGTGAGTGGGCAGGCAGCACCCCTGGCTGAGTGCACAGGGTGAGAAGGGTGGCCCCTGGACCAGCTGCTGCACCCCCAGCAAGGGCATAGCTGGCCCCCTTGTGTCCTCTCTACCCTGGCCACAGGTGTGCGCCTGCCAGGTGCGGGCAACAGGCAAGATGTACGCCTGCAAGAAGCTGGAGAAGAAGCGGATCAAGAAGCGGAAGGGGGAGGCCATGGCGCTCAACGAGAAGCAGATCCTGGAGAAAGTGAACAGTAGGTTTGTAGTAAGTACAGAAAGGAGACCTCTCCCTCCCTCGGCCACGCGGGCTGCTGCCCGCCCCGCCCGCTCCGGCGAGTGCTGCTGGGAAGGGCGGTTGGGGTGTTGACACCAGGCCTGGGGAGCAGGCTCGACCCCAAGGAGTGGCACCAAGAAGGACCTTTTGGGTGGCTGGTGTTAGCCTGCCACCAGGTGGCCTGGCAGCTCCTGCCTGAGGGCTCGGGTCCCCTCGGCCACAGGTGAGCTTGGCCTATGCCTATGAGACCAAGGACGCCCTGTGCTTGGTGCTGACACTGATGAACGGAGGCGACCTCAAGTTCCACATCTACCATATGGGCCAGGCTGGCTTCCCTGAAGCGAGGGCCGTCTTCTATGCTGCCGAGATCTGCTGTGGCCTGGAGGACCTGCACCGGGAGCGCATTGTGTACAGGTGGGGGCCTTGGCCCTGCCCTGCCCATGACTGCAGCCGGGCAGGACAGACAGCAGAAGGCTATTGCTGGGGCTGTGGCCAGGCATCAAGCCGGTGCTGGTGGGGGTGGGGGTGAGGTGGGAGAGTGGGGGGCCAGCAGTACCCACATACCAGGCAGACGTGAGCGGCTCAGACCCAGGCTTTGGGGTCCAGCTGACCCATATGGGAATCCCTACTTGGTCACCGTCTCTGTGTGACCTTGGGCTAGTCAGCTCCCTGCTCCCAATACTATTTTCTTTTCTGGGAAACAGAAACTATAATTCCTACCTCCCAGATTGTTGTAGGGGCCCAGTGAGATAAGGTGGTTAAAAAAAAAGTTCCTGGCACAGAGCCTGGCGCATAGCCCTTGGCAGTGGAGAGCTGTGGCTGTGATTGTTATCAGCAGTGACTTCATGTGAGCCTCACAGCAGCCCCATGAGGGGCGGATGAAGAGCCCCATTTGAAAGAGAGGAACACTAGAGTCAGCCACCAAAGGGCAGGGAGCTCCTCAACACCAGGGGTGAGCGAGGCCCCTCCTGGAGTCCTGGGAGTCCTGGCTCTGAAGGTCCCTGCTCCCATGAGTCCAGGCTGTCTGTCGCCCTGGCAGAGAACGGGTCGTGCATCTTGCTCCACATCTGATCCCAGGATGGCGGGTGGCTCCCTGGCAAGCTGATCAGCGTCTGCCCTTGCCCTTCTCTCCCCACAGGGACCTGAAGCCAGAGAACATCCTTCTGGATGACCACGGTTGGTGGGAAGACCCAGGGAGGGGTGGGGTGAGATGGGGAGGCCTGGCCTGCTGACGGGCCCACCTGTTTCTCCTACATTCAGGCCACATCCGCATCTCTGACCTGGGACTGGCCGTGCACGTGCCCGAGGGCCAGACGATCAAAGGCCGTGTGGGCACTGTGGGCTACATGGGTGAGTCTCCCCCTGTACTGGCCCCTGTCCCCCCAGGTCCCCTCACTGTCTCAGGCCCGACCCCACCTACTCCTGTTTGGGAGTCTCCCGTGCCTCCCTGCCTCAGTAGAAAGGACCCGTGCTGACCTTCCCCTTTTATAGATTGGGAGACCAACGCTACGCCAGGGTCCCACACAGTTTGGACCTCATGATTCACTCACTACATACGTATCAGCCCCTAGTTCACATGAGTCTCTCTCCATCCACTGGGGCTGGCTACCCGCAATTGGAGGAGAGGGACTCAAACCTGCTTCCGTGGCCTCAGCGCTGCCTGCCCCCAAACTTCCCATGCTTGGAGTGGGCATGCCCGTCTGTGGAGGGGGCCAGTGGAGGGGCCAGGATGTGGTCCCATAGTCCCCTTGGGGACGTTGTGACAAAGTAGACAGAATCCTGGCTCTGTAGGTGCCACCTCTTGCCTGTTGTGTGGCCTTGAGCCAGACAGACACTCCACTTCTCCCAGCCTCACTTTGTTGGACTAGAAAGCTATCGTCATACCTGCCTCTCGGGGGTTGCCTTAAAGATGAAAAGATGTACTGGAGGGAAACTTCCCCACGTGACTGCCCTGGCAGGTAGGAGGTATTCAGAAAATAGGAGTTTCCTCCTTCTCTCTTCTCTCTGATGTTAAATCCAGAAGTTGCAAACTGGTAGCCACGTGGGCCCAGTTCGGCCTACATTTGTATTTAAATCAAATTGTTTTTAGAACAATTTGAATTGGTTGCCAACATTTAGTAAGCCAGACAGCACACAGCATATCATAAAAAGTGCCGATTCCTGGCTCCTCTTGAAAAATCTCAGACTGGGCATCGTGGGTGTGGCCTCCCTTGGGGCCACATCCACTCCCTCTGACTCCCATGAGCTGTCCTCGGTGGGGACCCCGCCAAACCGCCACCGCCGCCTACCTGGCCAGTGGGTGTTTGAGTGGATCCCTGACTGAACGCGCTTGGGCATTCCTGGGGCCTGAGGGTCTGCTCCCCGCCTCCCGCCTAGCCCTAACCCCATGCCACCCGCCAGCTCCGGAGGTGGTGAAGAACGAGCGGTACACGTTCAGCCCTGACTGGTGGGCGCTGGGTTGCCTCCTGTACGAGATGATCGCAGGCCAGTCGCCCTTCCAGCAGAGGAAAAAGAAGATCAAGCGGGAGGAGGTGGAGCGGCTGGTGAAGGAGGTGCCCGAGGAGTATTCCGAGCGCTTTTCCCCGCAGGCCCGCTCGCTCTGCTCCCAGGTACTGACGGCTGCCCAGCCAGGGCTGGGGGTGGGCGCACCTCTCCCACCCACCCACTGCCCCTGCCCTGCCACAGCTCCTCTGTAAGGACCCCGCAGAGCGCCTGGGATGTCGTGGGGGCAGCGCCCGTGAGGTGAAGGAGCACCCCCTCTTCAAGAAGCTGAACTTCAAGCGGCTGGGAGCTGGCATGCTGGAGCCACCCTTCAAGCCTGACGTGAGTGCCACCTGCCTGCAGGGGCAGGGCCAAGCCGGGACCGGGGCTTGGGGGGCTTGGAATATTGGCCAGGACACTTCCAGTGCAAGTGTCAGAAAACTCAATCTAGTGGCTTAGCCAAAAAAAAAAAAAAAGGATAATTCACAAAAATAGCTCAAAAATTAGCTCACAAAAATTAAAAGCCCCAGGCTTGGTCCAGCCTTTGGCATACCTGGACGGGGCTTCCACAGTGATATAGGAGCTCTCTCTCTTTATCGCTTCCCCCATCTTCCCCCCACTCCCCACTGTACCGTCTAACACGTAGTCTTCACTTTGGAGCAGCTCTCTCCAGGCTGTGGCAGTGGTGGCCCCCAGCAGTTCAGGCCCCCATTCTCCAGCTTGGCCACCCCAGTAGACAAAGAGTACCTCTTGCCCAATAATTTCAAAAGAAATCCTAAAGGGGGGAAAAAGTGTTAAGGCTGGTGCTCATTGCCTCTGATAGCTCAGAGGCCCTCACTGGCCACACCTGGATCCTGTGCCCGCCCGAACCACTGCGAGTGGAGAGGTCGGTTCCCCAGAGAGAAACCAGATGCTGTTGCAGCAGGGGTTGTTGAGCTGATCGCCCCTCTGTGTGTGGGACACTCGCCCTTACAGAGTCCCACATGTTCACTGAGCATCTCTGTGGGTCAGGCAGCCAGCAGGCAAGAATGTCCTCCAGTCATCAGATTCCAAGTGGCAGAAACCCAACTCAAACTCACTTGAGCCCAACATGGAGTTTATTGGTTCATTTGGCCGGCAAGTCTGAGAGTAGGGCCAACACCAGGGTTTCATGCTGTGTTCCCAGAGCTCTCTACCTCTTGTCTCTGCTTCAACCTGTTGACTGTTCCCCATCCACTGAATTCAGGCTTCTCTGTATGTAAAGTCGCAGAGAAATTTCCGGTTGGCCAAGATTAGGTCATGTGCTGGCCCCTCCCATATCCATGAGGACTGGGTCCTATGATTGACAGTTCACTGGGAGCACCGGGGAGACCCAGAGGTGATGTGCGGGCCAAGTTGATGACTGTCCACCACACACGTCTGTTTATTCATTCAACAAATACCTAAGTGCCCCTGTGTCCCAGACCTTGGGAATACTGAGATCTACAGGACCCTGTCCTGCTCTTAAGTTGTAGTGGGGAGACATACCCAAATGAGCCAATAAATGAGAAAGAATTTCAGGTAACCTTAAGTGTGACAAAGAAAACTAAAGCGGGCTCAGAAGAAGGCAGAAAATGAGGGGGGGCGGTATTTTTAGACAGGGTGGTCTCTGATGAGCGGATGGTTAGGCAAAAACGTGAAATATGTGAAGGAGAGAGCCGTGCCAAGGTTTGGGGGTTGAGCGTTCCAGGGAGAGGGAATAGCCAGGCCTTGCAGTTCCGAGGCAGGGCCAGGAGGCCTGCGTGGCGGCAGTCAGCCTGTGCAGGTGCAGAGGGCTGGACACATTCTAAGCGAGACAGGGGACCTTTGGGGGATTTGGGGCAGGAATGTGAGGCCTGGGGAGTGGGGAGGCCAGCCGGGGCCTGTGCCTCTGAATGACTGCCTCACTCCGGCCTCACTGGGACCCCGAAGGGTGGTTGTCACAGGCACTTGAACCCAGTGAGCCTGACTTTCCTCAGCCTCTGTCAGGCTGGTACTGCTGCTCGTGTTTGTTACTGCCGTTTGTGCACATGATCTCATTTAACCAAAACAGTCGCACTGCCTCTGGATCTGCCATTCAGAGTTAGGAATAAAATCTGTGCCCTGGAATTTAACTTTTCAGAAGCAGGAGATGAAAAGCAAGGTTGATGATGGTATATTTTTTAACAGTTTTATTGAGATTTAATTCACTACCATACAATTCACCCATTGAAAGTATACAGTTCATTGGCTTTGTAGGATCTCAGAGTTGTGCACCATCACCTCAACAAATCTTAGAATATTTTCATCACCAGCGCCCCCAAAAAACCCCATACCCTTAGCAGTCATTCCTCATTCTTCCCTCCCCCCGGCCCGTTAGTCACTCATCTGCCATCTGTTTCTGTACGTGTGCTTGTTCTGGACGTTTCACACGTGTGCAGTCCTGCGTGGCCCTCTGTATCCCACTTACTTTGCTTAGCACAATGTTTTCGAGGTTCATTCATGTTGTAGCAGGTGTCAGCACTTCATTCCTTTTTAAGGCTGAACAATATTCCATTGTATAGAAAATACCACATTTTGCTTATTTATTCATAAGCATTGATAGACATTAGGAGTTGTTTCCACTTTTTGGCTATTGTGAATAATGCTGCTATGAACATTCAGACACAAGTTTTTGTGTGGCTAGATGTCATTTCCCTGGGTATATAGCTAGGAGTAGAATTACTAGGTCATGTGGTAACTATGTTTAAACTTTTGGGGAATTGCCGGACTGTTTTCCAAAGCAGCTGTACCATTGTACATGATGATAATATTTTCAAAAAAATTTTTTTAGAGACAGGGTCTTGTTCTGCCACCCAGGCTAGAGTGCAGTGGCATCGTCATAGCTCACTGCAACCTCTGACTCCTGGACTCAGGCAATCCTCCACCTGAGCCTCCAAAATAGCTGGGGCTACAGGTGCGCACCACCACACCAGGCTAATTTTTCTGTTTTTTGTAGAGACAGGGTCTTGCTATGTTGCTAGGCTGGTCTTGAACTCCTGGCCTCAAGCGATCCTCCTGCCTCGGCCTCCCAAAGTGCTGGGATTACAGGCGTGAGCCACTGTGCCCAGCCCATGATGATGATATTTTAATTGGCATCCTTAATAGAGGGATTTGGAAAACAATGTCAAGAGGAAAAAGAAAGTGGCCTCCTGGAGCTCAGGTGGGCTCAGCAGGGGCCTGGGGTTGGAGCGGTGGGAGACTGCCAGTTGTCCGGTTGGCTGGGAGAGGGGACAGAGCAAGCCCCAGACGTGGCAGGCCTAGCCGAGGAGGCCCAGCCGAGCGAGACTCAGCCTGCTCTCCCCGTTCCAGCTGCACACCCAGAGATCCATGTGCGTGAGGAGGGGCTCCCAGCACTGGCCTTTACAGTCTCATGCAGTCACTGAGCAGTGAGGGACGGTAACAGTCCTGGTCTACACAGGGGGAGATGGGGCTTCGGAGAGAAGGGCTGCCATGCTTAGGAAGTGCATGTGGCTCCTGGCTTCTGACTCCAAACCAGAGAGCTGCTGGTGTCAAGGCAGCACCAGTCCAAGGCCACAGCAAGACTCAGGCTTGCCTTCCTCTGTGTGTGCTTCCTATCCACCGCTGCCTCTCCCTCCACCCCCAGCCCCAGGCCATCTACTGCAAGGATGTTCTGGACATCGAACAGTTCTCCACAGTGAAGGGCGTGGAGCTGGAGCCCACCGACCAGGACTTCTACCAGAAGTTTGCCACAGGCAGTGTGCCCATTCCCTGGCAGAATGAGGTGGGGGCCCACTCTGCTGGTGGGTTGGGCTCTGGGGGGCGGCCCTTGGGGCAGTCCTCACAGCTGCCTCTTCCTCAGCAGATGGTGGAGACTGAGTGCTTCCAGGAGCTCAATGTCTTTGCGCTGGATGGCTCAGTTCCCCCAGACCTGGACTGGAAGGGCCAGCCGCCTGCACCCCCCAAGAAGGGGCTGCTGCAGAGACTCTTCAGCCGCCAGGTGAGCCCCAGCACTGTGCTGCCTGGGCCCCCAGCTGGCTCCAGGGGACAGTGGGTGGGAGGCAGACCTGGTGCCCGCATGCGCATCCTCTAGCCCCGTCCGCGGTGCCCAGGGCCTCTGGCCTCATTCCCACCTGTCCCCCACCCCTGGCTGGGCTCATGGCCTCTTTTCTCTTTCCAGAGGTGAGCAGTGTGGGCTCCCCGTGGGTTGGCCTTGCTGCCTGGCCTCGGGGAGCCACGGGCAGCCCTTCCATGGCAGAGGCAAGATGTGGGAGAAAGAAGTCTGGTGCCCGTCCCCTCCCCTGCCCACTGCTTCGGTTCCCTGTACCCTGGCCCCTTTGAGCTGCCAGCCTTGCTTAGTCTTATCCCCATGCTCTGCCTCCACCGGCCCCAGGGAGAGGGCTAGGCGGAGGCCTGGCCCTGGCAGACCCTGGGATCCACCCAGACCTCCTTCAGTCTGTTGCCAGCAGGCTCTGCACTGACGCCCACCTTTGCGTGGCCTGAGCTGCTGCTCCAGGCCCCTCCTGGGGAGCCCCTTCCCCAGAGCATGACCTTGGGCAACTCCTGGCCTGCTCTAGCGGGGCTGGCCCTGTGTGACAGCCCTGGTGGCTAATGGTGCCCACTCTGCCTCTCTCCCTCCGTGTCTTCCCCGTCCCTCCAGGATTGCTGTGGGAACTGCAGCGACAGTGAGGAAGAGCTCCCCACCCGCCTCGAGCTCCCCACCCGCCTCTAGCCCCGAGCCTGAGGCCCCCACCGGCAGTTGGCGGTAGCAGCTACTCCGGGCGCTGTTTACAGTTTTGCACAGTGGTCTTCCCCATTGTCCATTCGAGTCATGGCCTGGGGAACAGCCGGAGCTGTCCCCTATGTCCTCTGCCCCTCAGCTGCGGCCTGGCTGAGTTTGGCATGGCCTGGGCCCTCGCTGGGACAAAGGTGCGTCCCTTCAGCTCTTCTCCATAGAGCTCTGGGCTTTCTGTATTTATGTATTTGTATGAATGTACATAGCAACCCACCCTAGACCTGGCGCCTCTGCCCCAGCTCCCCAGGGCAGTGGGTCCTGGCTGGGACAGTGGGAGCTGGCGGAGGAGCCACTGCCAAACTCAAGGCTCCTCAGGCCCAGCTTGGATGGGCCAAGACTGGACTAGACCCTCAATGCCCAGCACTGTGCTGGCCACCACCGGCCTCTGAGTGAGACACCTGCCCTTGCCATGCTGGGCTCAGGCTGCCACATTCTGGGAGCCAGTGCTGTCCCTTTCAGCGCTTGCCAGAGCTGGATCTGAGGCCTCTGTGTCCCCTAGGCCTATGCCAAAGTGTGAGCAGAGATTGGCTGGCCTGAGGCCCACCAGCCCCTGTCCTAGGTGGGTCTGCTTCTGCCTTCCAGCTCCCAGGCACGTCGTCCCTGATGCTGGGCCTTGTCCTGAAGATGCCTCTTTCAGAAATGCCCTAGCCTAGGCCATGGGTGGGGGTGTCCCTGGCCAACCCTCAGACATTCTGGACTCCCCTCGTAACAACAGACACGTGCCCAGCAATAATCCGCCCCTCCCTGTTGTGTGTGGGGGGTGCGTGCGTGAGTGTGCGTGTGTGTGCGTGTATCCGTGAGCGTGTGAAGGGGGTAGGGTGAGATTGTGCCCACGCCCTAGACCCCAGCCCTGGCCCTTCCCAGACTGTGATGTCCTTCCTTGTCCCGGTTAGGGTAGCGTGGGATTACAGGGCCCTGGTTTTTCCATATTTAAAGCCAATTTTTCTTACTCATTTTGTCCAGTGTAAGCTGCCACGTGTCTGTGTGAATACAGTCCGAGCACAAGCCCGGCCAGCGGCCCTGCCTGCCTCTTTCTTGCTTCTGGTGCTCCCGTGCTCTTCCTGCTTCCCTGGCCCAACTGGAAGTAGGAAGGGACGGGAGGTGGACCTGGCAGGAGGCAGGGTGCTGCCCTTCCGAAGCCCAAGAGTCCCCAGGGCTGACCTTGAGGTAGCCTCTCCAGGCAACCAGGCCTTGTTGGCCTTTGGGCTCACCCAGTGGGTTTCTCAACTTCCGAAATGGGATGGGGCCTGAGGAAAGAGGCCTTGGGTGCCCACTGGGTCCCATCTGTCTCTGTGTTGCAAAGGCAGGCCCAGCCAAGGTGGCGTGGCTGCCAGGTGTGGACTAGGAGCAGCCTGGGAGTGGGTTGGAAGCTCGGTTAGGGACATCTGCCCCGGGTCTGTCTCACCTAGGCACCAGCCATGGACTTGGCCCGGGGATGAGGCACAAGCATCAGACCCATCCTGTTTCGCCCTCGAAGCATAAAATGTGGGCGGGCAAAGACCTAGATGCTGGTGATCCTGGGAAGAAGGCTGTGGGGACACCAGGGAGGGATCTCAAGATTAGCGGTTGAGCCAGGCCTTGAAGGCGGCCTTCACCTGGGGGAGAGGGACTGGGGAGAGCCTTCCAGGGGACCCTCCTACACATACACTTGGGGGTGAGAGCTTACTGACCACAAATCTCTCCCAGGTTTTGTAAACCCATTGCTGCTCTGTAGCCTCCCAGTGTCCCCAGCCCCTCCAAGAATGGCCTGTAACTGCCATAAGGTTTTGTTCCTTGCCTCTGGGCTGGGCACCCAGTGCTGCAGAAGCTACATGCACTTTGGAGTTGACAGTTCTGGGTTCAAGTCCCAGCCTGGCCACTTTTCAAGTTGGCTTCGCATAGGCCCTTGTCTGGAAAGATGGGTGTCCATCACCTTCTGGGGCAGCTATGAGAATCCACTGAAGCAGCCATTTGGCCCCCTGGAAGCCCCAAGTCACCACAGGACTCTCAAGTGCAGGGGGAGTGCCAAGCTGACCAGCTGTCTCAAGGGCAGCCAGAAGGGGCCTTTCGTGCCGGCCCAGCTCTTGTGTGGAGTGCTCACTGCTTCCCATCAACTTCAGGGAGATGGGGCGTGGGGGCTGTGCTTGCTCAAGGTCTTCTGGCTGGTTAAGTGGCCATTGCAGGGTGGGGAGGCGGCCAGGAGAAAATGGAAAAGCTGGATACTGCCCATGTGTCCTGAGGTTGGAGCCTGAGATGTGTTTGCCTCAGGCTGTGTTGGGGGGCTGAGGGTGGCGCCTGTTAAGTAGTTATCAATGCAGGTGTGCAAAGGTGAATGGATGCGAGGTGGACGTGCAGGACCCTGAGACACTCTGCCTACAGTGGATCCAGACCTGCTGGCCAAGCTGGTCCTTGGGCTAGGGAGGCATTGGGGAACTTCTTGGCTAGGGTTAAACTCACGTTACAGCTCTTACCACAGTGGATCCTTGGCAGAGAAACCTCCCAGAATTCATTTCCCAACAAGCCTTCCCTAAGCTTACCTACCTCCTCTCAGCCCAGCTCTATGGTGGGAGCTGGGGACCCAGATGGGGATAAGGCCCTTGCCAGCTTGGAGCTCAGTCTGGCAGGGAGGCAGGTGCGGGAACAGGGGACCCAGTGTGATTGGCACTGTGGGAGAGGAGACTCTAGAGCAGGTGGGGCTGGGGTTGGGGGCAACACCAAGCGGGATAGGCTCTTTGACCACGAAGGTGTTAAGAGTTGGTACCCTCTAGGACACAGGATGTTCCAGGGAGAGGAGCACATCTGCATGGCCTTTAGTGGTCTGGAGTGGCTGAGCATGGGGGCAGTTGGAAGAAAGAAGTGGCTGGAGCTGAGGTCAGTGAGACACAGCCAGCTTTTTTTCTTTCTTTTTTTAGTTGAGATAGGGTCTCACGATGTTGCCCAGGCTGGTCTCAAACCACTGGGCTCAAGTGGTCCTCCCACCTCAGCCTCCCGAGTAGCTGGGATTATGGGTGTGCGCCATCACGCCTGGCCACGGCCAGCTTTGAAAGTCATGGCACCCCAAGTTTCCTTTGGGAACCGCCCATTTTCCATCCATGTGGTTTAAATGGGGCTGGGCTTCTGCCCCCTGCGTGCACACACACTACACACACCTACAGCATGCGAGCCCGATGGGAATGTTGTAAGTGACAGAACTGTTCTCCAGCTAACTTAGAAAGTATTAAAAGGATGTAGGACAGCTCTGAAGGTCTTAGTTGCAGTTCCCATTCTCACCAGGTCATGACCACGAGAAGCAAGATGCTACAGCCATTTGTGTTTTTGCATCTTTGAGTCTGACTCCAAACCCAAGGAGCTGGGATGGCCAGGCTGGGGCCTGCTCCCTGTGTCTGAGGGAGAAAGGCAATCAGGTTCATCAGTCCACCCCGAGGTCATAATTGCCTGGATGAAATCTGGGTGGTCATACCGAAAGAAAAGGGAATAGAAACTCGGTGGCCGTTCCCTTTGGCCATATGGAACATACGTCCCCTCCCCAAGGCATGGCCACTTGGATTGGTTCACCAATGGACACTAGACCAAAATGAGTCCAAGAAGAGTCATTTGTAGAGTTTTTTTTGTTTTGATTTTTGCTCAAACTATTGGGAAAGAACTGGGGTTCTCTTTCCTCTGGGGATGGATGGCAGGATATGAGCCTAGAGCTGTAGGGTTCATCCGTGCCACCACATGGGGAGAACTTGCCTGAGAATGATGCACACACACAAGCAAAGTGGAGAGAAGCAGATACATGCTTGATGCCGTTGCTGGAACACCTGGAACCAACTGTGACCAAAGCTAGAATCTACCCCAGGACCTGCCAGTTAACATGAACAATCCCCCTTGAGCTCAAACCTATTTATTTTGGGGTTCTGATACTTGCAACCCCAACGTCCCAGCTGATGTGGTGAAGGGTGTTTTTGGAAAATCACCTTAAGCGCAGTACACAAATTGGACTAGAAACAGAGAAGCCAGCTAAGAGGCTGATGGACAGCCAGGTTCAGGGTGGCCCATGTAAGCCTGGACCTGAGGGTAGACAGCAGGGCCCTCTCTAGGCGTCACTTCTGTTCCCTCAGGGGAGCATGCCCATGGAGGCCAGAGCTGTGGGTTCAGCACTAGGTCCTCCTTCCCGCGCTCCTTCCTAGCAGACGTGTGATGTATGCCTGCTGGGGACACAGTGGGAGAGGCCGTGATTTGGGAGGGAGCCACGTGGCGGTGCTCGCCTGCTCCCTGCTCCAGCGCCTGCCCACTGCGTGTGTGCGGTGCCTGTCGGGATGTGGCTCGGGCCTGGACGTGTGTGTGCTCTCCAGGCTGACCTGTGTGCAGCACGTCGGGGTTCTAGGCTTCAGCTGCTTGGCTGCTGTGTGTGCACCGGGGCTGCCAACGTGTGCCCGGCCAGACGGCCTGGCGTGCATTCCCTGTACAGGCACCCTCGGGTGTGAGCCCAGCGCCCTTCAGTGCCGGGTGTCGGTGCGGTAGTGCGCGCCCAGTGCTCCCCCTCCTTCCCTCGCGGGGCAGCTTCCTCGGCGGCTTGTGGCTGGGGGTGGGGGCCCTCCGCTGGCAGCCGCGCGCGCGCACGCCGGGCTCGCCGCGCGCCGTGTACGCGCCCGTGCGCGCGCCCCGCGCCTCCAGCCCAGCGCTCGGAGCCGTTTTCACTGCCGCTGTCTGCTCCCCGGGGCCGCCGCCGCCGCCGCCTCCCCCAGGCCCGGGGCTCTGTCCGCTGGGCTCGCGCCGCTCGCCCGAGCCAGGAGGACGAGCTCGAGGAGGATGCCTGGGCCCGTGAGTACCTCGGCGGCTGCGGGCCGGGCGGGCACGGAGCGCGGGCGGAAGATGGTCCCAGGACTGAACCCTTTGCTGCGGGCGGCTCTGCGCCCTGGCCCGGGGTCGCAGACCCGGACCCCAGCCCGGGCCGCGGGCAGCCCCTCCCCCAGCCCACACCGGAGAGAGGGAGAGCGAGGGAGCCAGAGCCGGGCGCGAGCCGCCACCAGTTCGCTTGGAAACGGTTGCCACAGCAACGGGGTTGCGCTCCACGGCAACGCGACTGCGAGGCGGCGACGCCCCCTCCCCCTCCCTCCCCCCCAAGGGACCACAGCTCGGGGTGGGGGGCAGGGGGAGAGGGGTGCAGGGTGAGGGGAGCGTCGCCTCTCCGGCCTGTCTGGGTGTGCCTGCCTCCACAGCACGTCGAAGGTGGGGGCGGGGGCGAGCGGCCCGTGGGCACGAGCTGGCTCCCACGTGGCTGCAGCCGTCGCAGCAGGGCTCCTGGGGTGGCTGCAAACGTGGGGGCGGCCCAGCCCCTGGGCCGGCCGCGGGAGGAGGAAGCTTGGAGATTCCGTCTGGGGTCTCTGCCGGCAGTCCCACCGCTAGCACCACGCAGGGCCTCCTCCCGCCCACCCTCAACATGGCCTGACCCGGGCTGGGTTCCCCAGAGGCGATGTTCCTTACCAGGGGAGAGGCAAGAAGCTCGCATCCCTCCTCCTCAAGGCCAGGCATGGGCCGGCGGTGAGTCTCTGCTGGGCGCTCCTAGCCACCATTCTCCAGGGAGGGGTGGAAGCAGAGTGGGCAGGAGCAGAGGAAAGGACATTGCTGACCCAGGGAAGCTGAAGCCTAGGCCGAACGGGAGCGACCCAGCCCGTCGTCTGGATCACAAGGGCCCCTTTCTCGTCTGAGCACAATGCCCCACTGTGCTGGGTGACATGCAGGTTGGCCGGCAGGGAGGCCAGCACC